CATTACCTTGTATGGAAAATTTGTTTTATCAACTTTAAGGAGCGAATTACTTTCTTTAGCTATATTTGAGAAGTGACTACAATCAAATTTGAATTGCAGATGAAGATGTCCACAAGACAACTTTTTGTACTAGGTATGGCCACTTTGAGTATCTAATGATGTCTTTTGATTTCACTAATGCACCAGTTATATTCATGAGATTGATAAATGATATTATTTGTCCTTATCTAGATTTTTGTCATTGTTTTTCTAGATCATATATTGATGTATAGCAAAACTTTGAGTGATCATAGAAGTCATTTACGAGAAGTACTTCAAGTTTTGAGAGACAATTAATTATATGTCAAAGTTTCAAAATGTGAAATTGGTAAATCAAAAACAAATTATTTGGGTCATAAAGTTACAATCGCAAGAATCCAAGTGATGAGTGAAAAGATAGATGTCATTCAAAAATAATCAGCATCTGAGGATCAAACTCAATTGAAGAGTTTTCTAAGGCTCACTAGATTCTATCGTAGATTTGTGAAAAGTTTTGCTCCCCTAGCCTAAACATTGACTTCCATGCTAGGTAAAGTTAAAAAATGAAGATGAAAAACAACTCAAGAGTTAGCTTTTCAAGCATTGAAAGATGTTTTGTTACATGCACCTATACTCAAATGATATGATACTAACCGTACTATCAAGTTGGTTACTTACTCATCAAGTACAACAGAAGGTGGCATACTTCAACAAGAATGTAAGGATGGATGACATCAAGTTGCTTTCAATTCTCAAGTTTATGAAGGCAAAACAAAATTATCACACAACTAAACAAGAAAAGTTAGCCATTGTGTTGGCAATCAAACACTTGAAGCATTACTTTGGTGATAAGGAGTTTGTGGTAAAGACCGATCATAAATCCTTTGTTTATTTGAAAACTCTAAATTATCAGTCTAAACGACAAACTCGATGAGCAGGATGGCGTTAACGCTTCAACATAAAGATTTTGTATGCGGAGGGCAAGAAGCAATTTGAGGATGCTTTCACACGCATGCCTTGTTTGAATCATGTTGCAGAAGTAAAAATTCAGGCTGATTGATGGAGCAAGATGACACAAGCCACAAAGAAGGATGAAAAGATTACTCGAGCACTACAAACTTAAAAGACAGAGAAGTCTTGAGGTTTGGCATTCTACGAACAATGTATATGAATTCCACAAGATCAAAATTTGCACACAATGATTTTGGCCAAAAGTCATAACACAGCCATTGTAGGTAATGTGGGAGTGGATAAAACCGTGGAAAGCATGCAACGAGTGTACTATTGGTCCAAAATACATGAGGATGTGGAGTCTTATGTTTGAAGTTGTGTTGCTTGTTAACAAAACAAGGTGAGTAATAAAAAACCAAGGGATTTATTACAACCTCTTCCTATTCACGAACAGCGGTGGGAACATGTCACCATGGATCTCGTATGTGAATTACCAAAAACTTCGTTAGGACATGATTCAATAATGGTTTTTGTGGACAAATTGACCAAGATGATTCACATCATGCCAACCACAAAACCGATAACAACTCCATAACTAGCTCAATTGAATCTAGATGCAGTTTTTGTGAATCATGGCTTAAGCAAAGTGTTAATCACGGATTGAGGTACTCACTTCACTATTTTATTTTGGAAAACTTTGTTTAGTTTTTTCAAAACAAAACTAACAATGTAAATGACCTATCATCCTCAAATTGATAAACAAACGGAGAGGACAAATAGAACCATAGAGTATATGTTACGAGCATTCACATTAGAAGAGCAAGAAGAGTGAGACAACCTTTTGCCACTTGTGAAATTTGCATATAACAATTCTTCGCGTTTCAAGAAGCTCCGAAGAAAGTCAGTTTAGATAATGCATCGCAAAAGTGTTTCCATTTTATCTCATGTATGGAATTCATCCTATAACTCGTTCAAGTTTGATGCGAATTTCGAAAGGAGAGGAGTTTTTGATCATAGTTGCAACAGTCAACGAGTTTGTGAAGCATATTCACCGAGGCCTACATCAAGCCAAGGAGAAGTTCATGATAGCTCAAAATTGGCATGCCGATGCTCATCGTAGAGAAGTGGTTTTTGAGGTCGGAGATCATGTTTGATAATCTACAACAAATTTGTTTCTTGTAGGAACATCAAAGTTGAACCCTATATTCATTGATAAATTTGTGGTTTTGAAGCGTGTTGGTGAAGTGTCATACAAGTTAGAACTTCCGTCACATATAAAAATACATCTGGTATTTCATATGTCACAATTGCAAAAACATGTAACACGATCAAAACAATTCATAAACGAACTAGTATCACCGTCTTTTCCAACCTTGATAGCAGATCATGAGAAGTTTGAGGTAGAAAAGATATTCAAAAAACTTATTCGAGATCATAAATATCTCAAATTAGAGTATTTGATTCAATGAAAAGACATTCTATCATATAAATCAACTTTGAAACCAGCTAAAAATTGTGCAAATGCACCTTTGGGTGATAGATACATCTAATTATTACAAGGAGATAATATCTTATCTTCTTGTACTAGTTGATGAGAGCTATATAAGGAAAAGTAGATTCATTGTTGCTATCTCTCATCTTCGGAGTTTATGTTTACATCTTTGAATGAAATTCTCTTTAAACTTTAGTGTTATACTTACGGACAAATAAAATTTGAAAAACATCAATGACATAAACAAAAAATATAACATCTTGATTTTTTAACTAAGGCTAGAGGTTGATTTTATAATTATTTCATAGACAGATTAAAAAATAAACTAATGAAAAATTATTATAATCCAAAACTATAATTTAGTATTAACAAAATAGTTGCATGCATGCATGTTGATCAGAGACATCCTGCAATGTCAACTTTAACTTGTACAAACATGCTCATATGAATGCTAAAGACAAGTGTCAAAGGTTGGAAAATTTTCATTTTTGAAAATGTCAAACTTTTCCTTATTATGGTTTGGAAAAACATTTAAAAAAATAAGCTTACAAAAGCTTCATTCAATAAAATTTATTGCTAGCAAAGTTTGTTTGTACAAAGAAAGATAATACTACCACATGTACATGTTAAAGCAATCAAAGATAAAAAAAAAGTAAGCCGACTTAACTTCATGATATATATTAGAATTGATACTGCCATGCATTATCATTTACAATCTTGTGAGAAGATTTCTAATCTGAAAATCACACATGTTTCTTTCAAAAACACATTTGTTATCTCAACTTACTTGATTTGTCTTCTATGACTCCAATGACACAAACAACAATTATCAATTCATGATTGTGATGTCATTATAAATTCATGCGCATAGCAAATTTTCATAAAGCTCTTAGATGTCTGGATTAAACATTCAGATTTTCAAAACCAAAAGACTTGCAGCTAGAATGATTGTGCAATTGGAAAGAACTCTGCTTATATCTATGTGTTGATTCCGGATATGCATATGTATCAAGTCATCCTGCTTCAAAACAACAAATACAACGACGGACATTTTTGATATGCAAATCACTGCAACTTAGACCGGCTATGACTTTACCATAATATCATATGCACAACAAATTTCCATGAGACTCTCATATGTTTGGATTCAACACTCAGATTCTTCAATTAAATTAATATATTTATACAATACATTTTAAAATCGTGAGATAAAAGATATGTTCATTTACTAAAGAGAAAGTTCAATTGAGGCCGAAGTCTTCCCGAATTGAGTATAATGTATACAATTATTATCCAGTTCTTATAACTATTGTAAAGAATTATCTCTCTCATTACTTGACTCCAGAAAATACCATTCTGGTCTTGGTTAATAAAAAATAATCTACAGAATCCAAAAGACCTAACCCTTTTTCCAGGATTTCATAGGATAAATAAATAATTTGGCATAGCATTGAGCCGACACAATTTCCACTACAGGAAATGAAACATGCAAGGAAATAACCGAACGAATTCAGGCTGGGCAAACGGAGCTAATGTTAGACAGGCTTAGCTAGTACTTATCGTGACTAAGCAAGTTACCAAGAAAAACCAGAAATACCTCGTAACGCTGAAATGATGAAAGATAGTTTCTTCTCCCTTAATCTTGACGATAGTCTAGTCGTATGATGTTCTAATGTGAGCATGTATCTTGGTTCAGGAGAAGTTCCCCGTCCTCCTTGTTGTTCGTTATCGATCTACCTTCACAAGAGAGACTGCTGCCCAAACATTTCACTTGCACTTCTTTTAGTATGGAATCTGTTAACATGAGTTTGATAAGAATCATACTCGAGTTATATTTTTTGGTACGAAGTTCTATCTCTCGCCAAACTCTTCAACGAACTGAAAGCTCTGCAATATACAAATAGCTACAAAGCACAAATGGAAGGGAAGGGCCAAGTGAAGAGCAGAAAAGAGATGAAGACCCATTAACCCGAGACATCAACTCAAATCATGGGCTGCTCGCTTATAAGAAACATGTCCAACATCACCTTTGAACTAATAATATTACATCCCTTATTTTCTTAATTTCTTCAATAAATCTCTCATCTTGTTGGCACTCATGCTATTTCCGAGGAAATTTATGTCTAGTATTTTACTTTTGATATGTCAAAGGAGATTAACTCGAGGCTGAGGTCTTGAGAGGATGCTCCTTCAAACAGCAGAATGGAGTTGTATTAAGAAGATTGAATTTTTGTGTCGCATCTTCTTCGAGTGCTATAGAATAGACCTGACCGAATACTTTCTTTTCATCCTCGTTGAACTTGCTAAAGTCACTCCCTCACGTACACATAAAAATAATAAGATGATCTTTGGGTGCACGATCGGATGGGTCAAGCGTTAATCGGTTATCATATTCTAACCCATTGCAACTGTGGTTCCCTTGCATCTCCAAAACCCTTTGAGCATCGTGAAGGGTACAACTACGCAGACGTCGCTGGTGGCAGATTGATTATGCTGGAGATGTTCTCTCTCTGTGCTTCATGCCGTCGATGGCTATTCCTGCCCTGCAGGTCCATCCATAATTCCATTCAGCCGTGGAATTATGCGCCAGGCCTCGAAGAAATAATAAACAATGAGAGAGAGCTTTCGAATCAGAGCGGACAGAAGGAATTCGACGTCACACGGACCACGTGCTGCCGAGCCACTCGCCGTCGGAGGCCCTGACTGCGCTCACGAGCCTAGAGCCGAATCGCAGAAGATCCTATAGGAAAAGCTTTGACTGCACCGGCTGCCATGGAGCCGTGAATCCTCCACGTCGAAGGACGAGGAGCGACGAAATCTGCAGTGCGGCTGCAACTGCAGGCGATGGAAAGGAGCAGGCGGAGGTCGAGCTCCCTTTGAATCATTTCCCGTTCATGAAGTTTCGTTTTTCGTCTCATATCATCTCGTCTCGTCTTTCTGTTTGTCTGTCTTTCTGTCTGGTTCCTGTTGATGTCTGACTCGGGGCTCGCCTGAAAGAGAGGCCGCGAGCTGCTGATCGGCAGACGATGCGGAGGATGCGGTGCCCGGGGCTTTCATTCGATCCATCTTCGCTGCAGCTGCACTGCTGCTGCTGCTCCGAGAAGAGCATCGACTGGAGAGAAGAAGAAGAGATTATTCGATGAGTTCTCCTCTTGATGAGCTTCGGAGGACAGCGTGGTTCGTGAATCCGGCTGTTCGTTCTCGAGAGGTCCGATCCAAGAATTGACTGATTCCACTCCCCCCTGCCCCCTGCGACGTCTCTTGCACGATGGGTCGGTTTACCTCGGGCGATCTGTGCATGGGGGACACTGGCCACTGGTCCCTCTGTCGGATGAGCTCGGGTGGATCATCGGACTACTCCTGTTTGTCGGAAGCCTGATCTTTTCTCTCGATTTTTCTCTTCTCCATTTCGTTAGGGTGAGGGCTACAAGGACGTGCCCGACTTTCAATTTGAGCTCATCTTTTGCCGTAGGCTTTGGGTTTCAGTGGCGATTCTTATCAGGAAAAGCTCTGCTCACCGGCTCGTCGTCGCAGCTGGCATCTCGTGAGATCATTGAGCCTTGGCTATTCAGCTTTCTTTCTTCGCTCTTCGTGAAGTCCGAGATGCAGTAATTGTCAGTTTGAGGCTGCAATGACATGCCCCTCGCGTCCATGCCTCGGAGTCTTATCAGCAAATTCAGAGGGGATGTGTGATGGGTCCTCGTCTGGTCGAATTTGTCTGTTCTTGTTGATGCCTCGCACTTACTGGTTCTCCGAGCTTGCAGTGAGAAGCACGAGTTGAGCTTTCTTGGGTTTGACCCGCGAGTCTCGTGATGGTGAATCGTGCAGGTGCGTCTGCCCTTGTGTAGCTGGCGGGTAAGCTCTTGGCTCAATGAATGGCATCATCAGGTGGTAAGGATTCTTCGAGCCCGATAGATTCGAATGGTAGGGTTGGAAGGGAGCATTCAAATCCGGAGGCGATATCGGCATTGTACGAGGACCTTTTTGAGAACGATAATAGTGAGCGTCCGTGCTACTTGCCAGACTCAGGGCAAGAGGATTACAGCGGCGATGGAGATGGAGTTGGAGATGGAGATGAGGATGGAAACAGTCCCCGTGAGATTGTCCAGAAGGGAAGAGGAGACAGCGTGGTTGAGGAGAAAGGGGAATTGAATGCGGCGAACGGAGCTTCACCCGAAGCGTCAGCCACTCAGATGAACAATGATAGCAGGGAAAGCGGGTCGGATGTCGGGACTTTGCCGGAGGATCTCGACGCAAGGTCCAGTACAGGGAACGAAGACGAAATACAGGAAAAAGATCATGAGTTTAACTTCAGAGATAGAGTTCGTGCGGAATCTTCATCAACGGAACGCTTGGTACATTTAGATGGAGAAATGTCTTCGGATCGTGGTTTAGATGGTCCCCCCAGTCCAACCAGCAGCCAAGGGGGGACTAGCGGCTATATGGCAGGAAGTGGTAGTAGTAGTGCGAGTACGAGCAGCGTCAGTGGTGTAGAAATCGGTACTGATCAAGATACTGAAGGAATTGGAAGCAGGAAGGAGGAGCGGGGAGTATGGGTTCCAGGAAAACGTCATTCTCAGGAGGTAATTAGATGAACCACAAGCAGCATTATTTACTGACAAGAATCTTGGACAGGTGAATCGTTGCCTGGGAAATTATAGCAATTTGAATGATTTAGTTTTTTGGTCAAGAATCCGGTATAATTAGTGAAATATTCATTCTGGTCAGTTTGAATGGTTTGAAGAATAAGCTGTTGAGTACAATTTGCAAAGCTTTCGTTGCTTTGATATGCCTTCGTTCATACACAAGAAAGAGAGTGGTAATTTGGATCTGTGATTTGGGAATATAGGTGTAGTTTTCCGAAGCTGTATTCGGAACATTGGTAGATTTGCCTCCAGGATGTTTATAAGCTGGAGTAAGGTCTTAATACATTGACCTTTCAAAATTACAAATAGAAAACTGTATCGAAGCAAATCAAGTTCTGGCAACAAATGTGTTTGTTCTTTCGCCGTTTTTGCTCTTTACTTATGAGTATCCTGCCCTTAGATTTATTATCACCGCACCCAGTCAATAGTAAAGCGTATATTTATGGATTCATGTTAGCATAGGGCTTGATAAGAACAACTCACTGTGATGGAGAAGTTTCACCCATGTTTTTGAAGCTGAAATGTAAGTGATGTTTTTGCATCTTAGGATGATAGTCATCCTTCCTGGCGACGTCACAAGAAGCACTTTTTCATACTCAGTAATGCAGGAAAACCAATCTATTCCAGGTCCGTTACGAGATCCATCCGAGGTGGATGTCCTAGGATGCGTTGTTATTGTCTTTAGTTATTTAGTTTTGTACGTGGCATAAATTTGTGGGAGTGCAAATTTATGATCTTACTGCAAAGTTCTGAGATGCGTAGAAGAAATTCCTTTCAGTTTGATAACCCTTTGGTTTTCTGATTATTGGCGAAACACCTGTGTTGCAGATATGGGGATGAACATAAACTTGCAGGGTTTTCTGCGACCCTTCAGGCCATAATGTCATTCGTAGAAAACAGGTACATATGACGTTTCGTTTGCTACCTGCAAATTCCATGTAGGTTGGAAATAGAGATGTTTTCTAAATACTTCATTGAATTCTTATTATTTTTGCAGTGGGGATACGATACACCTTGTCCGGGCAGGAGATCATCAGGTAATCTGCTCACGGGTCTCAAATGGCTGTAGGTTAAACCATCAAGTTGAAGGTATTTGATTTCTATATCGTCCATGACCATTTTCGGGCCCTAATGAGTTCCTTTATAGAGCCTCTAAGCGCAGCCATGTTATCGATCGACTTTATGTTGTGAATGTCGCTCGATCCCCCATATGTTTGCGTTTTGTCACAATATCTTGTAGTTCTCTGGTGGTTCTGATGTTTATCATTTTACAATGTAGATCTAATTTCTTCTTCCACTCACGACGTTATGTGATCGTGGTATATTGTTTCTTCAGATAATCTTTTTGGTTAGAGGTCCATTGTATCTGGTCTGTATCAGTTCCACTGATGAACCTTTCCAAGTCCTCAAAGGCCAGTTAGAGCTTCTGCATGGACAGGTGGGTATCTTCTGACGCAATAACGTTCAATAACATAGTTCAGAGCGGACACACGGTTTCGTTTCTTAGGAAAAGTATGTCTGTTGTAAATACTATGAGGCAATTATTTTCAACCTGTAAACTTGAACACTTTCTATCAAGTGAAAAGCAAAACTAATATTGGTTTTTCATGAGCAGCTGCTATTGATCTTAACGAAGGCAGTCGAAAAGTGCTTCTTGAAGAACTCAAAATTTGACATGAGACCGCTCCTTGGAGGCACGGATGTTGTTTTCTCCTCGTTGATTCATGCCTTCAGCTGGTATGTTGCTTCTCTTCAAGAGCCTGGGGTTGTCGGAATTTGCGTTCGTTTGTCAAACTGCTATTTCCAGATTTGCTCTATCCTCATCAAAAACTTACATGGTTAAAGATGTACTCTAATCGAGATGAATATGCGATACTCTTTACTCCATAACGGTGGATCAAATATTTGAAAGACTACTCTCTCGATTCTCCAGTTAGAGAGGCCGATTGGGTATCCTCCTTACATCCCTTCAAGAAATTTCCGTAGGTTTTTATTTGTATGGTCCAAACATTAGGACTTTGAATCACGTATACCTCTCATATCGTAGACAGTGCCATTCGATGCGTTTATGTCTGCAATTATTAACTGAAGACGTACTTATCTTTGAGTGCTTTTCTTCATGGTTACATCAATTTTGGCTTAGGCCTGCACTGGTCTGAGTCTAGCCTTGTCTAAATTGTAATTTGTTATCTTTGGTTTTTAGTCATTCAACTTAAAAGACAATTGGAATGGACCACCTCTGACGAGTCCAAGCCAGTGCTTGAGTTCGGTGTCCTAATCACCCCTCCTGAATATAGATTAGACCTACGCTGATGTTGACGTTTTTTTGACTCAATGGCAATAGGGATCCAGCAACCTTTTTGAGTGCCTATTCGTGCCTACCTCTTCCCTACGTCACAAGACAGGCTGCTTGTGGTGCTCTTCAGGACATGACGGACTCCGGAGTTCTGTTCGCTTTGTTGATGTGTGGCACAAAGGTACATGCCACATTGCTACATTCATCAAAGGTTTTCAAGGAGATGTTTCCTTTCTATTCAAGTGATCTCGGTCTCTACATTACAGTCCTAGATGTCGTTTTCTAGGTTTTGATGCGCACATACAGCATAATTTAGTCCAGTTGTCTTAGACGAAGCTCTAAGTGTAGATGAAACGAAGACTAATTTCTCAGAATATTTGCAGGTGATAAGTCTCGTCGGTCCGCGGAAAGCTTCACTTCATCCCCATGATCTGTTGCTGTTATCCAATTTTATCTTGTCTTCTGATTCATTCAGGTGAGGGGAAAACCTCTCTTCACCCGCATGTATCGTTGCTGTTATCTAGTTTTGTCACGTTTCCTCAATCCTTTAGCTAAGGAGCATACCCCTCGTATGTTCCTTTGCCTTTACATGTATAGACCTGTATCGCTTTTTCAAACACTGTTCTTTTGTACATATGGTCAGTCAGACGATGTGTTTGATTTAAACCCGGCTGATCGCTATATTGGCTCTAAGTTGCGCACACATTTGATAGTCTAACATGTTGATTGATTTGTGTTGTAGAACATCCGAATCATTTTCTCCCGTATGCCTGCCTCGATACAATGCCACAGCATTTATGTATGCCTATGTGCAGTACCTCAATGTACGTTCGTGCTGGCTAACCTATATCAAGTAACTGCCGTACCAAAGCAAGTGGCGAAACTTTTTGTTGTCTTGTCAAAGCATGGTTCTTATTGTGGGTGCTAATGCAGTACTTTGTGGCTGACTCTCCCAGAAAGACACTTGTTTGATCTTACTTACTGGGGACCCCAACGACTTTTTCCACTTAAAAGAATGCAGGTATGACATGGACATTTCCTGTTGCTTTTCAAATATCCACAAGCTTTGACGGTCATTAGTTCTACCGCTTGTTTGTATAATACAATCATAAGAACTAGATATTATTTGACTATCATATTCCAGCCGAGGCAACGTCGCGTTAGATTATACCTGTTTCTTGTTTTTTGCTCATGATGTGATGATGTTATTATCTGCTGGTAAAATCGGTCTGGTTCTGTTCAGAGCACAAATTGAGATTGCTTTGAGGGAGTCAGATGTTTTGCGGGAGGTGAACAATTCAATATCACGAGGTGGATTGAGAATAGAGGACTTGCCGGATTCAGAGGACCTAGTACCCCCTGAAGGTGTATCCAGTAGGGAAGACAGATCTAGTGGTGATGGAGCTAGCACATCTGCATTTAACTCTGTTCCCGGAGCCGGCGGAGCTGCAGGCCTTTGGCATTTTATTTATCGCAGCACATACTTGGACCAGTTTGTGGCCTCGGAATTTTCACCCCCTTTGAATACACGCTCGGCTCAAAAGAGGTAATTCAAGTCACAACTTTTACTGGTTGTGAGAGTCTCTTATATTGCGCAGTAATCAAAGTTTGCACCACAGAAGAGTTTGTGTTTATTCTTGCTAGATCAAGTGCAGTTTACATCTTTCAGAGGAATTTGCCCTTACATGGAGAATACATGCAAGGATTGCGATCACGTAGAGCGGTTATATGCATGTTAAGCCTATAAATCTGTTGTTCTGCTGATAATGCTGTTGAACGAATTGATCGAGAATGGACTTTTAAGACTCAAGTCGATATGTTCGCGTGTTCAGACTATACAGAGCTTTCCAAAAGCTGCATGCTTCAATGCATGATACCGAAGCATCAGGACCTCACAAGATGCAATATAGGAGAGATGAAAATCATGGTGCGTACTTTTACTGGCCTTCCTGCTTTTAATTGGATCGGATCAATTTAGAAATAGAAGTGGGATAATCTGAAAGGTTTTACTCTGAGTTGAATTTATTGACAGAAGTCGACATGGATATCGTGATACTTCTGGTTGTCGTCTAATGTTCTGAATTTGGATTATTTGACAATTAGTTCTGCTTTCGTGGAGAAACTCCGATTTCGAGCTCTACGCTGCATTTGATCCTCTCGCCGAGAAAGTAAGTACTATGTTTACTTTAAACTCCACATCAATAAACGAAGTCCAAAGTCCAAAGCTGCATCTGATTTCGAGTTATGAATTTATCCGCAAACCGCTTTTATTGTTTTGTGTTACTCTTATATGCTGTGTCTGTTCTAGAAGAAATCCACTCCCATCAAGTGTTATGTGTTGTTTGGTTGAAATTGGAAGAATGTGCCTCTGATGAAAACGTTGAGTAACTCATGTGCAGAGCTCTGCAATATTTGTATGCAACCGAATTTGCCAATGGATTCGAGATGTGGAATGCGAAATATTTTTATTAGGTGCAACACCATTTAACTGGTGAGTTCCATGCAACACAAACGGCCTTGTAAACTCATACGGTATCTGTTTTACGGATATATATCTCAGAATGCATGGGACAACGTGATTCTTTTGTAAAATTCTACCCGGTCTTGGCCCGGTAGCTGGTTTTACGCATCAACCATATGAATACTCTCAATGGTTGCAACTTTCCACTGCCTTTTGTGAAATCGGTGTATGAATGTCATTATGTTCTACTAGATCATGATGCTGAGCCTAGCTGCGCTCTCCCTTCTGCCCTGTTCAACTAACGTGTATGATATGGTAAGGATTTTGGTGAACGGGCCTGTTGTTTTTTAGCAATATCTAACGATTAGGATATAGACCTACCTGGTCTTTCACAGACTTCATCTGGTAAATCCATGAAGGTTTTAAGTACTTCGGTCAGAAACTCTGGCAAAGGGGTTTTCCAAGGAATACAGTATCCGGTCAATCAGAAACAACAGCAACATAATTTGTTGAACAACAATGTTCACTGACCATCGAAGACGATTGGCATATTTTCTCACCGGAAAATTCATTGGAACTTTCTTCACTCGTGTAATTAACAAGTACTTAACGATCGATGTTCGCTCCACACTGATCAATTAGCTGTATGTTATTACCATCATCGTGAAGTTTGAAAGTTAACACGAGTTTGAGGGTTCATCAACGTTATGGGTTCCAGTGTTTCGAATTATCAAAATGTGCCATGTAGTCGCATGTAAATGGACGGCACTTCTCATTGGATGCACGGTGGAAGTGCGAATGGTTCACTGACAAACGATATTTTTTTGATAATTAGTTAGGACTTTCTTACATTTATCCTTAAGAAGATTTACAATTTGTGTTGAGAAATGGTTAACTTGGCGAAGTGTAGTAGAAATTGTAGGTCTCTTCCCACCACCACATTTGCTAAATGAGAGAACATGATCATGGCGGAGGTAACAGTCTGATTTGTAGTGGTCCGTGTAGTAGTCTGGCTAAATGACCTCCGACCTCAAATGTATCTAGTTCCTGGATATTGGATCTGTCATTTAAGATGGAACAGGGGGCCTCGTACATGTCACTGTGCGGCCAAGAAGTCGACAACGGCTCTCTTGTGCACCAAAACAAGATGCATTTCTCGATGAGCAAACTTGCAGAGCTACATACACGCGTTCTCGACATAAACCCAGATAAAAATCTGCTTTTTCTTGCTCGAGGAATGCTGTACCTCGATTGCACTGCCGTGTGGTGTTCGTGAGGACTTCTAAATTGTCAAGTTCCGGAGATATAAACTTGAATGAGCAAGGCATCGGAAAACACCTGCGGACCAAACTGCGAGGTGTAAATTAGTGGAGTTTTGACATTATGAAAGACAATTAGGATTGCATGTAGGGTCTTACAAACAGATATGTGATGGAGGGCAGGGGTGATAATGTGGCCAGTAATCTACCAATTTAGGGACACTTTTGAAAGTACATAGTGAATTACAGCCATATATCACGTTTTCTGTAATTTTTCTGTGGTTCCCTACTCATATGGAAGGAGACTACATAGTGATTTCTATGTGCGATGGTATAGCTTCTGGTGCGAGCTCATGGTCTGGACAGCTGGCCCCAAATCTATTGATGACTTTAGACGTAGCACAATAATTTTTAACATTAGTCACAGTACGAGTAAAAGCGAATCTACTGCATGCAGAGGTAAGGGGAGTAAGTAACTTCTCACCGTATGTTTTACACATCGGGTAATTTCACATCAAAGAAGTATTTCATTATTATTACAATAACAAGCTCTTTATTTAAGATTTCCAGTAAAGATGGAGGTCATCCCCATAAGTTTCCTGAGCTTGATCTTGGAGTACTGATCTCTGAAGCTATCAGGACTCTCACAAACCATATATCAAACTTAAGATGTAGAAACGATAGAACATTCTTTGTGTCTGATCGTTAACAATATTGACACACAACTGACGTTGTACTTGGCTAATGAAAGTCATGACTCTTACATTTTAGTTCAAAGTTGAAGGTGTACAAAAGTTTGAACATTCTTGGGTTCATTGTTGAAAACTTTGGTACTAGATAGATGTTTCTGGAAGAAGAAGTAAATCGAGAACCAAAGGTTTCTCTTAAGTGGCTAATGTTTTCGCACGAAAGGATCATCAAACCTAGACCAAGCCACTCATGTTTGCTTGCAGTCAACAAGCTCCTTCAACCGGCGTACAAACCTCGAGGTTACCGAAAGTTATCACAATAAAAATCATCTATACGCATCGATAACGACTCTTGATGGTCGTTCGATCTTGCCTTAAACGGGAATTCAACTTTTAATGGAATCAGTTTGAGAAAGACTACATCTGGTACTAACAAGGCCACCTCAGTTTTTCACTTGTCAAGCTACGATCCTATGAAATCTTATTGGCGTCCTACACACAGTGGGATCAACTTCTCCTGCCGAGTATCTCGCATGTGTGAAGGTTCTCAATTCCAACCATGAACTTTGATAGTTTGCCATTTTTGATAAAAAGAAATATACATGTGCATGTCTAAAATTTGATTGTCATGAGAGTTCGCTAGTGTGATACATAGATTTATAAAATTTCCGTGCTCTTTTATTCTGTTGATTTAATGTGAATATGTCCATTCCAATCTTTGAGCTATTTCACGTTATGCAACTTCAGAAACGTTCTTAACGTTTCAAGAATATACTTGAATGAATGCATGTCAGATATCATTCTCTTGCTGATAGAGGCAAACAACAGTGATTTATAGAAAATTCGTCAATTGAAAACACTTGGCCGCAATCACATGTATCAGTCTTTCATTTGTACACCATGGATCTTTTGAAAGAATCAATGTTACCTTACAGTACGGCCCTTCCAATAAAGATTATCCTTGACTGGTAATGAGATCTTAAGTCGGAGGTAAAAGCCAGAATCATTACGGATGTGGCTTCTGTACACAGATCTTCTCACAATATCAATCATTCTTTCGAATTAGAGACATGCAAGTTAGGCGTAGTTTTACATTCCCATTATGGTGACTAGCTCCCACGGAGCCCATCTTCTGCAATATAGCCCAACTATGTTACTAGCCCCACTGCAGTATGTCATGTACAAACGTAAGTGATCATCGCATCTCCAGAAGCAGATGAATATGTACAAAGAGGCGGTGCGAGATCACTTTCTGCAAGGATGGCACGAAGATGATGTACAATGAAAATGATCAAGCAGCATTTAATCAGCATTGATTGGACGGTCTATATGGCTAGTCCCTGGGAGGTGCCATCCTCAGAAAATAGATAATTGAGAAGCGTCGCCAGCCTAACCCCTCCTTGGGCCAGCCTTCTCTCGACGATTGGCCACCTTGACAGAAAATACTCGTCTGCACAGCAATGATTTATTTATGATGTATAAAAAATGTTATGAAATAAGCACTAGAGCTTAATACAGAGCTTGCAGCTCTGACGTCGTAGAGCTGAAAACTGAAGCTTTGGAATTTCTTCAGGCAATCCATGACTCAGAACATCAGATAAAACAGCAGTTCTTGAGATACATACGAGGTTAATCGAACAATCATACCTTTGAGTGTAGAGCCAGGAGTTGCGTTTCTGTATGCATACTTGCATGCCAAGCTTATGCTCTCCTCAGCATATCTGATAAGTGCCCACAAAAGGGTCAGACAACGTCGACCATGTCAATGTTTAGAGTTCCTCCTACTCTAGAGTAAATGAAGGTCATAACTCCTCGATTAAAATTTGCAATTGCTCTGCTCCTCGTATAAAAAGGGAGTGCATCCACTTACGGGTCAGGACATGGATACGAATTGCTTGGGCACTGGGCCCACTTCAGCGAATCCTCCAGCCAATTCGTCTGCAACAGGAATGATATTACTATGAGATATATCCACCACATCATCGCCGTGCTAAAACATCTCGAGGAAAAGGTATTCTGAAATCAGAGCGAGGGTTGAAATTTACCGTAACGTTGAGATAGATTGCTTCAGTTAGTGCTGTCAGGTCCCCGCCGAAAAACTGGTCTCTTGCTCTGAAGATGAACTCACTGTCCCAAATCTGTGGTGACAAAACAGATTTGCGTTACTACAATCCGAACAAACACAGGTTCTACATGCCTTCTCCTCATGTACAATAGGAGAACATGTAACATAAACACATTGCACGTTTCGAGATCAGTCAATTGACCTTATAACGTCCAATTCAATCCGAACTAGAATTCGTAGAAGTGAGTTTTTTCCAGGTCTGAACATTCTGAATTACTTCTGCCACGATTTCAAAACTTTGCCCACTCAATTGACTTCGTCCGCAGCCTAAATTATCCAAAAGTCTGAAGAATGAGATGACCTCAGTCATGAACTTACATGGTGTAGGTTGTACTTCCGCGTATACCAATGGACCATGATCGTGTTACCACCGAGATCTCCAGTGAACCCCACATGCAAAGGCTGGAGTCAGACCAAGTGAAACTCTTAGTAACAGCCACGGTTCACTCTAAGCATGCATTCCTACGCGCGTTTAAGTTGTATAAAGTACTTGTACTACTCAATGTTCTCGTGCTGCTAGATCATTCCTACTTGCAATCAGTCTGTCATTTGAATTCCAGTCATTCAAGATATTTGATAGAAGACGGAAAAATGAGGAGAACGTCTCATTTGCAATAATTGGCAGAATCACTTCGATCATAGTCAGGACAAGTGAGTGACAGCAATATAAAGAAAGATTGACTCACTTGATGTATGTCACCAACATAATGAGCGAGAAAAAGTAAGGCTTCTGTCAAGTTATCTATCACATCATCCAAATAAACAATCATCAGTACCTTGTAAGAAATCGTGCAGATCAAATGTGCTGTTCCGTGATTAAGAAAGTTGAACAGCAACTCTTATGAATGTGAGTTATCACTTCCACTAGCCAGGAAAGCAGCACCTGGTCCTCCCAATGATGTAACCACTTGCATGTCCTCTTTGACTAAGCATGCCAAAAAAAGTAGAAACCACGGCCAGAAAAGGTAGGAAAGAGTGTCTGGTCAAATATTATTCTAGAGTTTAGATCTTTCATCAATCCAGATTTCGCTGCGACTCTGTCCACAAAAGACGTACAAGCATTTTTCTCGTGCTCTGAAGGTACAGCATCAGTCTTGAAGTTGGCCGACGGAGCTTTGTAACCGAGGAGCTGAGAGGAATAATTGTTGATCGCCCCAGCGACGCACATATCCATATGGAATAACTCATCATGACAATCCCCTGTTTAAATGATACCAAGAAGAGAATTAACGCAGAGCGAACTGAACACTAGAATGTCTTGAGCAGTAACACACGATCTAAACAACACTGAGGGAACTTCAAGCTCAGACACGGAGGTGCACAACGGGACTTCAAGCAGAAACTACCTGATCTGGTTATGGTTTCTACAGGTCCTCTCGTCAGTGTCCTATGCAAAATGCAGAAAGAATATTTGCATTTCAAAGCATGAAAAATGCAGAATGCTTTACAAAGTTTAGAAGCAGTAAACAAGTCTCTACACCTTTGACGACTGAAGGTCTAGAACTAGTATGGCAGCTTCAATCTGAACAAATGGAAGTGACAGTTCAGATAATTACTCTCGTATTTGTAGTTGCAGAGGAAGTCTGGGGTATCAATGTAATGCAGAGGACTGGTCCACATCCACTTCCACATCCACCGGATTTCATCCGGCCATGAACACAGGGGTGCAAGACTTCCATTGGCATATTCTGGAAGCAGGCTTTTCACGGCTGCGGCTGCTGTTGGGGTCAAAAGAGGCTGCAAGCAAAGAAAAATTTTAGTCCTGGCAAAGCATAATAGAGATCCACTTTCGCAGCATTTCTCAAAAGCCAACCAATTGATAAGCATGAACTCTTACACTGGATAAGCTTTTGGTCCATCATATAGCCACGTCTTCCACTTTAGGTTAAGATTTTGAAATTAAGATCTCGTATTTCAGAAACTCCATCGGGCCTGCTCGATAGAAATGTTCCCTGCTTCGATACTACACAGAGTTTCTTACGTCTATCATGAAGGAAAGGTCTATGACAACTGCAGAGACACACATACAACACAACGGAACAACATTGCCCACGGCTACCCACAGACGTGCAGAGAAGAGTAAAAATCCGAGACAATGCTCTTGTTTGGTTATCACAACGAGAATTATCTCATTTCCGACACCACTACTGAAACTCGTTTTAAAATCACCTTCGTAAGACCTCAACCGAGATCAAATTTGAACAATTCGAATCTATTCGATTTCATCCGACCGCAAACTACGGCAACGACTCACTCAATCAGCTCGAGAATGCAGGTGGCTCGTGGAATCCAACCCCACGAATCCGAAGCATAACAATCCCACCTCGGCAATGTGACAGGTCATGTGGTGTCCGTCAGCGCCCCAGGCAGCAACAGGAGCTGGACCGTGCACCAGCAGCAGCAGAAGCATCAGCATTACTCCTCCAGACACCAGCAGCAGCTCAAGCGCAGACACTCGACGACAGTCCATCTCTCCTCCTCCAGCTCCTCCTCCACCTCCACTTCCACCTCGAGCTTCAATCGGTCGAAAGCTCCAAATCTTCGCCTGCGCTACAGATTTACGAAACAAACAGAACTGATTGCGGATCCCCCACAGCCTCGACGAGGATGCATCGAAGTGTTCGTTTGCCTCGTGCGTCGAGCGAGAGCGAGAGTGAGACAGACGCAGACGCCAGCGTGGAGGAAGTGTGCAGTCTCAGTCAGCGCGGACGTAGCACTCCCCACGAAAGGACACGTGTAGCCTCTTTGGCCACGCGTGCAACGAACGCCGGACCAGTTCTTCCGTGAGGGTACAGTACTGGACTGGAGTACTGTACCGTCGCATCGTCAGAGTCCCCGGTCCTTGGGACAGGCACGCACGTCGTCCCCTCGCTTGGGAACTGGAGAATGTCTCCAAATCGCTCTTTAATGGACCCCATTTGAGTTACTGGACGACCGCCTATCTTATCCATGTTGGCGCCTCGGACTCCCAATCTCGAGCGAGCTTGGGTACGAGAACCATGTTCTTATGTGTGTGGAAACCGGAGGCACCGAGAAGTATGTATAGGTAGAAGGAGTATGGGAAGACTCAATCAAGTCATACGTGGATGGAAACCAACCAAGTATCAAGAGTATAGTCCAGGGTCTGACCATGACTGCAGTCGCAGTTAGCAAGTGTTTGTGAATAAAATCTGTAAGCAAGAGGGATTAACTACAAAGGTATTACAGCCAATCGTTAGAGATTGAACAAAAATCAACACTCTCGAGTTTGAGATTTGTCATGAGTTATTGTTAAATGCTTAGATGAGCAAATTGCAAGTTGCCTGTGTGATATTCGGTGATGAGCTAGGTGGAAACCAGCATTCGGAAATCGTTGGATTTTAGATCTCCAAAGCAATTATTACATTGCATTTTGTGAAATGTACATATAATAATGAATTTAAAATTTAATTTGGATTTTTTTTTTGTTGTGATTTATTTTTTTGGATACAAACGTAGGTACTTTTTATTCGTATAAATTATTTCATAGTTGAACTAGATTGAAGATTTTACAAGTATAACTGAAAATCTTCATTGATTTTGAAACTTGAAATAATAGATACTATAATGCAGAACTCATAAATTGTGGCATATGCCACTTTTGCCACTCTTAAATTAAAAGTGGCACCTCATCATTCTTAAAAGTGGCATCTGCGACATTTTGTATTGAATGTGCGAAAAGATGCGGCAGGTGCGCTTTGAACAGTTTGCATAGTAAAACATATTGCTTGGAATGCATCATTCCGCATCAAAGACAACGATTGAAGATCGGTGCGACGGTTGTTTTGTTTGAACTTGATGATGGAGAAGTCCAATTCCACGGCGCACGTGTTCGGAAAGGCTATCGCGAGCTCTCCACATAACAAACGCAGATTGGCAAATCAGATGGTACCGTCCTCCTTTGTTGACAAGATGGCATTCCAGGCGTCGTTGAAGAATGTCTTCTCGTCATGACCGTCCAAAATTTTCTTGATTGCACCGTCATTCTTGACAGCATTGACCAGCTCCCTGTGGTCATCTTCGAGTTTTTCAATATTCTCTGCCGACCAGTGCTTGTTGATGTGGCCGCGGAAACAATCCAATACTTCCTTTATGAACGTCCGGGTTGGCAATTTGACAATGTCAGCCGGCATGACAAGCGGCGCTTCACTTTCAAGCGGATTCTTGTTTGCATCACATTTAGCTTGCACAAACAATCCTTCTTCAATGATGGTCATTGCAAACAAGCCCATCTCATGAAGGACCTTTGATTTCGTAGGTTCGTCAAGTCCTTCAAACATGTCACGTACCCACGATACCTGATCATGGATATGATCGCAAATGGAATCACGCGCAATTCATCAATCTCCATTGGACATAATGATGTCCAAAGCAACCCCCCAATGATCCGTCTAGCAATGAGCGCGCACCGATTCCGATGCAAACCTTGCCGACCAACTCCTTCATTTCATGACGCTGTTGGGATATAACAATATTGCAAGCTTGCAGAATCTAAAGGTAGTGAAAAGCGTCCCAAACAAGGGCAGCAAACACAGAGCCAGTATCCATCAAGATTGGGACAGTGCTGTAACCGGTCTCTTCTCAAGGATGTGTTGAAGAAGGTGGCGACGGTGTAGGATGATCCATTTCATCAAATTCCCGAACGCCACCCATCGTGTCGTGTCTTTCGGGCATTTTGCACCATTCATTGCATCGATTAGATTGTGCTGTGATCGTAGAGGCTTAGAGATCGGATGAGCCGTCTTGTAAAGTCGTCACCATCGACACCATTGATGGTCATTTTCACGACCAGATCTAACTAATGAAACACACACCACACGCGCAGCACAAGATTGGTGCATTGAAACGCGAGCAATGTCACAACACTGCAAGTGCGATCAGTCATCGTGTTTTTTCCATAAGAGGCGATTGTAATCAGCTTGTACTTCCACTTTGGGCACAAAACGTCCATAACGGTGTTGATCATATTGACGTAGTTCACCGCCGTGTGGCACTAAAAGAACAGCAAGAGCATCAAATGAAGATTCATAAGAACGTCATTGCGGCACACGCAGACTTGCTGATCCAACAATGGCGTGCCTTGGTGCGTTGACGCATCTCCCGCGAGAAAAAATGCATACGCCGATGAACTGCATAGTACATTGGAGAGCTACTGCAATGCGACTGCCAAAAGAACACGAACAAAATTCCGAACCATGTGATCATTGATGCCCATCAATTGAGCATTCTTGGTGCCATTGCGATGTTGCGTACTAACGACGGCCGCCTTCCTGAATGACAAACCGACGCTGACATGATCAATCAAGAGCCAGAATCGCACAAGATTCTGGCTCTTGACGGCGTACCGTTGGACATCTCGATCAGCTTCTTCGTTAGCATCTCCATCTTCCTCTTCCATATCAACTTCAACACAATCAAATATGGGCTGAAAAAGGTTGAGAGCGTTAGTCTTCGCGATCAGTTCGCTCTCTTTATTGTCCTCATCAACTTCAGGCTTGAAGAAAAAATTGCCAATTAACTCGTCGGCAATCGCGACATTGGGAATATCAAACGTGATGCTCTCCTTGATGGTGTTAAGATATGCATGAATTCTCAATCGCTGCTTCTCGTCGAAGAACTTATGCTTCTGTTTGGTACTAAGCGCCTTGTAATTCAACCAATCTTGCGTGTGCACTGTTTCTAGGTGCTTTCGGTACAATTCCGGGCGAAACGGTGAACGAAAGAGGTGGACATTTGCGAGCTGTTTGCGCTTGACGCCGGCTCCCTCGCGAGTCTTTCTGCCATTAAAAACGCAAAAATTGCATTAAACGTCAATCACATTCTTGCCATCAATGCTTTTTTTTACAATTTTCAAGCCGAACTCAAGCTCGTGGCCACGACCAAAGTACGTATGACGCTTCATTAGTAGTTGTAGAACCGTATGAAGTGGGGAGTCAGAATGCCAAAGGCTGAGCTATATACGGGTGACATTAGTGCTTGTGATCATATAGAGTCTAAATGACCACGTGTTTGTTGAGGATCTATATTATAGACCCTCAACTAATGAACTAAGACTTAAATGACTTAAGTTAAAAGTGTCAAATTGGCATTTTTAATAGTGGCATCTATTTTTAGAATGCCACTATTTATGAAGTCTCCTATAATGATACATTTTTTTGTCTAAAAATCTGTTATTGAATATGTTTAATTAAAATTTTCAAATTGAATACATTGATAACATGTCATACTGATTTTAATACGAAAATTTAAATTCTAATAATGGATTATTTTAACACTACTACAATAATAAATTAACAAGATTTTAGGACAATTATTTGAAAAAAAAATGAAAAATTTGTGATTTATATTTTCAATATAAATCACAAATAGGAGTAAATTTTAATCTTATAAGTAGAAAAATTGAATTTTTTTGTTTGTACAAATTTTTTTTGATTGCTATGAATGACAAAGTATTATTCAAGTAAGAGCTTTCAATATAGAGAAAAATTAATTTTTATTTTATCATATAAATAGAAGTCATGTGCAGGAGCAGATGTATTTTGTAATTAGCATTGACATCCTAGTTTTGCTTGTGCTAATTCTTATGAATTATAGTTTGGATTATGTCTCATGAGGATTTAATATTCACAACTGATTTTTACTAGAAATAAAAATTTGATGCAGAGTTGCAAGTGCAAATGCATAGATGTGAAATATTTGAACCACAATGTGAGTCATGTTTTCTAGATTCTGATTTTAAACTATGATGGTTGTACCATTGTCAATCTGAAATTTTGAAATGAAAATATAAATGTATTACGATATGTTAGTCTTGATATAGTACAATTTGCAGGGCAACTAGTTCTATATCTTATCTGAATTACAAGTTAAAATTTAGTTGTGAAAAAGATTTATCAAAAATATATGTTAATACATATGCAAAAATCTCTGGACATTAGATTTATATTTAATTATTATTACGTGAAATTATATGTAAAATATCACATATAAATTTTTTTATTTCATAAAACATATATATAAATTTCATTCAATGATTCATTGAAAGAAAAAATATTATTTGTATCATTATGTGATTAAATGAATATACCAAAAAAATTCAACTAATTTTGTTTTAATTTAATTATAAATTTATCACATTAAATGCATTTTATTCAAGTTAAAATTATTTACAAAGAATAAAATTTAAAATTCTATTTATAACATTGTCAAAGTAGAATAAACCTATTTAGATAAAAATTAATAGAAAATAAATAGAACACTTGATAAAGTATTTTATAAGGAAATTTTACCAATTGAAACTAGTATTTATTTCAAATTAATACAAATATCCAAATTATATTGTACATCACAAAAATTGCAAATAATTAATTAGAAAAAAAACTGAAGATAATTGGAAAGTATATGCAAGAAACATTTTTCTTGGAGTAACATCAAAGTGAAATATTTTTTTGAACTTTTGCAGAATTTTTTTTGAACTTGAAAATGTTATATTGCAGTCCACTTGTTAGAAAATCATCAGATCACACACCCAATGTACGTACTTCACTTCCACATG